ATTTTGCTAGGATGCTTAAGGTAGTTTCCATTAATGCTTAATTTACTAAAGGGACAAGCAGAGGATTAGAATATTTCCTCGGGTTGCAGTTGATAAGCAATCACTTGTTACTGTCCGCACTTCTTCCTAGATGTAGCACTAACCATCTCCTTCTCCTTACTTACCAAGTTTCACATTTAGCTTATTTGAATAATTAGACTTTAAAAATTATGCGTCCAAAATTTCCATTTGCAGTTAGACTCCTGATTTAAAGTTCGTGTTTTTACTTATTTTAGCTGCTTATGCTCGTTTGCGTTGCGATGAACTGCTCCAAGCTCCAAGAAGCGCGCTACTACGATCCATCTGAGAGTGGAGATGACGTTATTCGACTTAATCAATGATTTTATTTTTTTAGTTCTCGTTAGTATACTACCCTGATGACAGCCAGTTGTTAGCAGGCCCGCGGACATTGTAACTCGCCGTCCCCGTGCATTCAGCGTTTGCTCAGACATGAAGTCTTCAATTCTGTCGTGCTGCAAAAGACGATGTTGTGGCCTTTTCTTATGAGGCCTACACTCCTATTTAAATGACGCTTTTTTTAAATCAGTGGATTGTAGCGATTTTAAGTGAGTTCCAATGTTGGTTATCTCATCTGTCTTCATTAGTACGGAAACTTGTGTTCGATTTTTTAGACTTTTTTGGAAGTTTACTCCTGTTTGATAATTCCTTTTGTAAATAAGCGATATGCGTTCTTCTGTAAAATATAAGACTTGCTTGATTTCTGAAGGCATCAGGCGCTGCTTTTAAATGAGAAAATGGGAGTCATACGGACTTTTGCTTACACTAAAATAAGTAGACCTAATCAGGTCCATTGGCTTGAAGTGATGAGCTGCTTCCGCTACGCTAGCTGCAGTTTGCAACGGATTACAAACAATTTCAAACATTGACTGCGATTTGCCAAATAAATACAAAGGTCTCAATTAATGCAAAATTGAGACAAGGCTTCGCGTCTCATGTACGTGTATAGATTGAGAAGAAGAAGAAGCTGGGTTGATCACCGGAATCATAGTTTTATTGGCCTGAGCTTTCGAACACCTAGAGGAGTCCATCGTCAGAGGTATAAAAACAGCAACAAATAGGGTGGCTACTTGTGGCATGTGTGTACAATAACTAAAATTTTGAACGTGTAGAAAATCAATAATTGTGTCCTTGTGCCGCTGAATCGCCACGATGGACTGTGTTGGCCTGTGTCAGTAGGCAAGGTCGACATTTTTGGTGGGAATATTTACAGAAATAAAATCGTCCTGTAGGAGCCCGAAAGCTCAGGGCAAAATACAATTCGTTCCAGTGCTCGATCGTCTGTCTTCTTTACCAATAGAAATACCTGAAATGCGAACATTCTCTATCATTCGTACTAAAAACTTTGATATTACTTCTCCCAATCTGCAACACCCGTATCTGTAGGTTGTACTGAAATAATGAAGAAGGCTAAAAGGTAATGTAATGTCTCTACTAGTTTGGCAGAAATTTACTGCGGTAACCTAGATAGGACCGAGCTAATGTACGAATATTTCCTTTAGATATTCGCTCTATACCGTACCGATAATTAAAAGGAATTCCGCGTTCTAAAAAAAGATAACGCTTACTGCGTCAACCAGATTCGAGATGGCTCCCTGACTTATTCGTCAGCGCTCAATAGGAAGGCCAACCATGAGAAGAAATACTGAGACGCTTAAATTGCTCTAAATGCTGAACTTAGAATAAAGACATCAAGATGGGAATGATTGTAACGCACATGTTTGGAACGAGACCCTGAGCTAAATGGTGACGAGTTATGGTGATAGTACCTAATTTACCCCATAATCCACGTTACACGGCAAAAGTAAAACCGCCTAGCTACAGATCGCGCTTGATCTGTAGGAGGACAAACTGCATTTTTGACCTTTTCAACATCCGCACAAGAATGAGCGCTTTTGTATTTTTTTCGGACTTAAGGTAAAACTAAAAAACATCTCGTGTGGAGACAGGCTGTGTAGAAAGTAAGCATAGCGAGAAGTTATTTGCTAAACAGCAGTCGACCTGGACTGGAACATAGTGGCTTACGAGGCATGTTTAAGGTAACATACGTCGCCTATCACCAGTATAAAATGGTTCGAAAGCATGAATCAGATTTTTGCGAATAAGCTGATAGACGGGCTTATTTATTAGAGCTGCGAGTTAGGGGTGAACATGTCCCCCGGCGCGCTGAAAATCTTCCAGTTTTCAGATCACAAGTATGATAATTATATGAATAAGAATTCAACAAAGTTCAACCTATTCTTCCACGTAAGAGTTCCATATCCAATAAAAGACGTACATGCAGACAATAAATCTCAAGATGCATCCTCCTAGAGATTGTAAAAGATGGAAATCGAACGAAAATGAGCCAACGTAAGGCACCTTAAAGCCCTGTTGCTGTTCAGCCTAAGTGATAAATGGTTCAGATTGCTTGCAACCCCACACATGCACCACATGCACCTACTAATTTTCGTTAAACATATAGAAATACTTTTTCGTAATTTTTCTAGGGTCTTTGACTTCAAGCGTTATAGTGGTAGGGGTGGGGGAAATGAGGATGTAGCATAGGTTTTGCCATATAAACTGGTATTAAAACATCAACGAAAAAATTAACGTGTGGCGATAGCTACTTGGTCAAATGGCACCGCTCGAAATAAAATATAACGAAGGGGCTTCATGGATGCCTAATTATTTATTTAATGCCCATAAGATAGAAATTTAGAAGACCTTAATTGGTTTGTTTCATTTGACTACATTTAATTACTTGGTTTTGATGAATTGTATTGTCCCAAGGAGTATGCGAGCCAAAGAACCGTACCCAATACAACGTTTTTTATTAGTTTCGGTGGGATAAGACTTAGGTTTCGGGTGAGGTTTAAGGTTATGGCGAACGGTTGCCATTTAGGTAGGTTAGAATTTCCTTAACTAATAAAAATTAGAGCACGTTTTAACTGTATTATCAGTGTTACGGTTTAAGCCTATAGTACAGCTAGATTTAATATTAGGGCGCGTTAATATGTACCGGTTCTTGAATAAGGCATTGGACCACATTTAATATTTTTTCGGGGCAATCATATTCACGCATCCTATTTAGACGATCACATAAGTCACGCTTACCAAACTATCTTCATAAAACTAATATCTGCAGGTTTCTCAATGCTATCGTGGCAGGTTATGCCAAAATTCACACTCTGCCTTAGTTTAAACGTCAGGTAAACAATTGGAATCCCGACTGTGTAGTTTATGTTCATAGTGTAACAAGGTTTTCTTGGTTTGGCAGGGGAAAACGTACCCCCACCCATATTGAGGTGACACTGCACGAAATTCAGGCAGGGTGACTATTCACATGTCCTTACTTCGACCTTGTCAGTAGTTCTAAAAACACTTCGACCATGGTATCCGACGAGATCCACCGTGTGCTACACACGATAACGGGGCAGGTACTGTGACATGCGTGGGGAATACTTTTAACTTATACAGTATAGCGAGTCCTGCATGCAACTTTAATGACGAAATTTAACTTGGTAGTTAAGCATATATTTGGACAAGTTATTTCAATCAGCTGAGTAGATTTGATAATAAGAAAGGCCCTAGTTTGAAAACTGCCTTCTTAATTAAAGCCATGGAGCAAAATAGGCACTTATTTCAGCTAAATCATCAGTAAGTATATATTTAAGATATTTCCTATGCTATAAGGTACGACAGGACCAAAATTTTTACTAATATACATGGCGCTATGGAAGAGTTTCAGAATAAGTAAAAAAGCGGAAAATTATCCCTTCCAGAACTGGAAAATTTTGTCCGAAGTTGGTAAAAAGGAAGTGAAGCCAAATTCAAGGAATCGCATTTTTTTCAGGAAAAAGCAGCAATTTAAGTTTAAAAATTATGTTTAAAAAACCTGCGAATTATTTTTTCCACAAATTGCAGTGACAAAAATGTTTTCTTCGCATTTTGTTTTACCGCACGGCTCACTTTGCCGAATAAGCGAAGTGTCTGCGTATGTTACCGCGAAGATAATGTAAATAAGCCCTTATTAAATGTAAGTCGTGTAGAAATATACTTTCTTGAAGAGTAAGCGTTCCGCTTGTGCGTTATTTAGAATCGGTTAAGACAGAAGAATAATAAGTAGTTCAAAAATGGCCATAGATGGCCAGTTTTCTTTTGCATTCGCAAGCTTATAATAAATCGTGGAATGCAGAAAATAATTCATTATAAATTGAATTGTTTATTTTCAAGTAAACTAAGAAATCTTCAAGCGTCTCTAATTTCATTGTGACATTACCTTCGAAAAAGTTAATATACATAGAAATTTTTCAGCTGAATATCCATTTAAAATACTTTTTAAAGAGATAACCTATTACAAAATGGCTTTTTATTAATCTTAGGAATAACAATATCCGAGTTATATTGTGAACGTTCTGCATGCCCGACAATGTGGTTTGTTGTATTGAAGCATTTCTAACAACGACCCACACGGCCACCTTCATAAAAACTTATATACAAAAACCCATTATTTCGGTAAAGGCTCTTAAGGTTTATCTTAATTTAAAGGTATTTATGTTAATGTCGAACAGAAGCGCAGTCTATCAATGAAGACGCTGAAAGCGATCGAAATGATACCAGACTTTACTGGACGATATTCAATAAATAGTTATCCACTAATGGTAATATGTACAAAATATGTT